GTAACAGAGTAATAGAGTAACAAGGGTCATGGCAGAGGTTTGAAAATACTGAGTCATAAAATATTCAAAGCGGTCTCTCTGAATTTGCTTATGTTACAAATGCCCTCTACAAGTTGCAACTGACTAAAGAGATAGTTATAACAAATACTTCAGTATTCACTTTAAAGGGATTTCAGCCTCTTCCTAAAGGCTCTAGTAGTTTGCTTTTATTTAAAACTCCCTATTTACCATTCTGTGAGTAAAGCCACTAATGAGGTAGAAATCCAGCTTATGAAAACAATATGAAGGTTGGGTACAGAAGTGTAATGTGATGTATAAAAACACATTAAAAATGTTTAAAAAGAAATGTCTGATGAAGACACAACATAGTTAATACCACAAAGACATTGCAGAACACTGGAGGTTTACTGTGAGCGCCTTTGGCTGCATTGTTCTTCACCTTGCTTTTCCACATAAGCAAGTGACCACAATAAAAGTTAAAATATAACAGATAAGTGCTTCTCTGGTGCTGTTTAAAATATGCATAAATCACTTTTCCTAAATATGTAAATTCTGATCAATTTTTCTCATACTTGATCTAATAAAGTGGCTTTGTGTTTTCCTGGTGTTTCTGCCACAAGCATATTAGTGTTCTGACCCTGGAAATTGTTGCAGAGAGGAGCTATATACAACTGTAAGTAAAACCAACTTTTCCTATTCTGAAATGCTTAGCCTTTAAAAACTTCTGAATGAACTTACAGAAGCTGTGGGTCTGTTAACTTTAAAGGCAAAATAAAGACTTGTCAGATGCAGTGCACTTGTAGACACGACTGTATATTTTTAATCAACTAGCTATTTTGCTATTAGTGAACTTAATACAAACTGCATAAATGGCAACCGTGATATTTTTCCCTGCTCCCTTAGATATTTCTAAGGAAGCTTACTATCCCTTTGTTTTTTTCAGAATTGTTCATAAGCGGTTGAATTTGAGTTGAATGTTTGGTTCTTTCTCTCAACCTGACAATCTGAAGTAATTTCTGCCTCTCTCTAATGCAACATACGGGCAAGGTGATGAATCCGTGTGATGACCCTGTAGCAATTCTGTGCTTTCTTGCCCGCTCTTACCTTTCTAGTGTCCTAGGGGTGTCTTGCAAGTCTCGCAGATGACACCAGGTTGCTTTGCATGGGCTTCCATCCTCCGTTGCTGGTCTGTGTGTTAGAGGTGGTGCTTGACCTGTGGCAGAAAGCACGGGCTGTGCAGGTTCCCTGGCAGGCGTGAGGCTCAGGTGAGCGCTGCAGCCACGCAGGTAACTCTGCACCGCGGTGCCTGCATTGCCTCCCCCTGGGTTCTTAAAGAGGCACAATCCTTGCAAAGATATAATGAAGCAGTCCTGCCTGAGCACTAACACTTAGGGCTTGTTTCACATCACTAAAGCAGTAGTTGGTGTTTACCCGGGCTCAAGAACTGCTTTAGGAGACAATCACTTGTAAGCATAAATGATGGCTCCCCGCCCCTGTTTTTTTGTTTTTCCCCCCCCCCCAGGAAACCACTTTGGTCTTCTCTATACATCATCATATTTACAAAAAAGCCTGATCAGCACATGGAGCCTTCAGAGTATGAAGGTTGGTACCCTAAAGATTGCTCCAGATCCATGGGTTCACATGCCCAGTCCTCCTTTATTTTGGTCCCGCATACTTGTTTTGTACAAACTAAGCTTAATCTAAATCTTTTAAAAATCACAGGTATGGTCAGGCTGTTGCAGTACCTACTACACTGAGTAGAAAGTACCAAACCCAGAGAAATTCCTTTCAGAGGCTCTTTGAAACCAGCTGTAGTGACAGTGCATTTGCTCAGAGGAGGCACTTGTCTGAAAACAAGGAAAGAAGGGAGGGCCAGAGTACAGCTTGGGTCAGGAGCACTTTGAGGACACTGATGTCTGCACCACTGCCTCCTTGCCATTAGGATAATATACATGTTTGAGGGGGGCCTCTATTTGCACCTGCCCTAACAGATGGGTAGACCCTTTCTGAAGTCTTCAAGGGCTCAAAGTCAGCTAACTGGCAATAATAAATCTCTTAGAAACTGCGCAGAACAACAGCTAGGATATTTTTACAGGAAATAATGATCAGTAAGAATCCCTTTGGGTGTAATGGTTATTTTTATGGATTTCCAAAATAAAATTTTCTGAGTGTGATTTGTCTTTGGGGGCAATTTTCCTCCATTGTACAAGGACAGAAGGATAAATGAGGAAGATCTGACCCCCAAACTGACATTTCATCTCACTGCTGATATTACTTGATCTTGCCAGATTACACATTCCTTTTTTTTTTTTCCCCCCAAGTTTCCTGGTATGAAACCTGCTTATCTTGTTTTTCCCAAAGCTGTTAAGATGAGCGAGATTTTAAACCTTACAGTGCATTATCATGACCTCTGTAGAAGTGGTGCTCTCAATTGACAAACTTCAACAACAAATGACTGTTTGGATTGTCAGCAAGCTGGGCGGGTGTGAGCGCCGGTGCAAGAGCTGCTATGGGCAAGGTTAACCGAGTGGCAGTCACGGCAGGTATAACTACCCTCCAGGTTCAGGATACGGAGCAGATTAGGCTTTTGAAACAAGTTCAGAAGCATTTCAGAAAATAACTAAGAAGTTACCATAGATGATAGAGTTGCCTGACCTGGATGAATCCTCTCTTTACAACGCAGATAATGCTCTACTGCCCTCCTACTCAAATTTTGGAAAAATTGGTGCCCAAACCCCAACTTTTGCTTTTTGGGAGAGGACCCAGAATGCTGGTTCACACCTCTGCTGCAGGCAGATCTTTAGAGGGAAGAACTCCCAGCAAGTAAGAGTGACTTCTACTCAAGCTTTTTGATCCTCAGTGAGGACCACAAATCTTCACTGTGTGGTGTGACAGGGTAGCATCTAGCTACATTGTGGAGTAGCACATCAAATGCTTCACTCATTCCTGGGGAGGCCCCCACATGGAAGTTTCCAAATGCTGGGGAGTGGGTGGCATTGGGACATGCACGCGTTCATCTGAAGTACACTAAGAACAGCAAGGTCATTTTTAGCTATTTAAAATTAACTCAAATTTTGCTGTGGCTCTAAACCCCTGTATATAAGCAGGGAGATGATCTGGCACCAAAACCTAAAATCTTGAAGTAGATGGCATAAAATTAAAAACTTACCATTGCTTTAAACGTTTGGAGGCTTCAGTGCTGGTCTGAGGCTGATGTTGATCATTGTGAACTTTTCTGGAACATGATGAGTGGAAATCTACTGTATGAGGTGATACCTGGGTTCTTGTTTCCTCGTGCTTAGTGGCAGGGCTTGTTTCACAACAGGAGTCACGCAAGGCTGAAGTTGTGGGCGGGGGAGCTGATGACTGTGGATGGATCCTGGTAAGCTCTAAAACATTTGCAATAAGTGAGAAAACTCTGAAAGTAAAAGTCCCTATGGACTTTTGAATCCCATTTCCCCTCTACGTGCCTGTTCCAAACCAGGCTAACATAGCAACACAACAGTCTACATAGACCTTGTCTGATATAAGACATAGCAGAGATTAATATTCTGACTAGGTTGTCTGAAATAGAGCATTAGTTAGCAGCTTGTGAACTCTTCACATGCTCAATAGATCCATGGGCTCAACCAAGGATTTTGCTCCCAATTTTACTTGGCATAGTTAGGATAACTTTACAGATCCAGGAACAGGGAAACATAATCCTGTTAAATACATACGGCATGATGAAGGAACTGGATATTGCTAGAATTAATGTATTAAGCAACTTGTGAGTGTAGACAACGTGCAGACTCCACACTGTTCAAACAAAGACGTCTTGATTTGCCATTAGTCCTGATGTACTGATCATCCCTATTAAATACTTCTAAGATAAGTTGTTTAATTTGCTCACAACAGCAGCAAGAGTAATTCACAGACTATGTCACGAAGCAGAGGGCTGAACTTGGGCCAGGAAGACCTATGCCTTATCCCAGAACAAGTGGTGAACATGTGCACTCAAAATACTCCACTCATTGAATTTCAGCCATCTCGGGAACGTAGCTGCTCTTTATTTAGAGCAACGTGCATAGCTGAGGCTGGAAGCATCTTGCTCCAAGCAGGTCCCTTGAGCTCCTAATGTAGAGTCAGGAATGGGATTAGCAGTTGCTGGAGGGGCTTGAATCAGGTAGTTCCTGATGGCTGCTTTGCAGGTGTGAGAGGGACAAAGAGCTGCTGCCTCTAAAGTTTTCCCACAGCAAATCTACAGGTGCTTACAGCCCTTGTGCTTATAGCTTGGGCCACACTGGAGGCACTGCTTACTCATGGTGCAAGTGCAAAGAGCTAGAGAAAGGCAGGGGAGCAACAGCAGTGCTGTATGCATTGGTTTGGTGGGAGAAGTTTAGGAAAAGAGATTAAAACATTCAGCTTTGAGGCTCATTGACAAAGGGGGTGTGTGTGTGTGTGTGTGTGTGAAAACTCACTTTTTTATAGCTGCTGTAATAAGTCAATGATAAAGAGCATGAGCAATGGGGAGGCAGCACCTCTGCCCACACCACATGGGATTAGTCTGTTGTACTCCTACCTGAACAGGGACAGTCCTATCCAGAAACTTGGCAGGCCCAGGAGAAGCAATCAATAACGGATTAAAACACATTCAGCTTTGAGGCTCATTGACCAAGGGGGTGTGTGTGAAAACTCACTTTTTTTTTACAGTTGCTGTAAAAAAGTCAATGATAAAGAGCATGAGGTGGGGACGCAGCACCTCTGCCCACACCACATGGGGTTAGTCTGTTGTACTCATACCTGAACAGGGACTCAGCAGGCCCAGGAGAAGGAATCAATAACAAACTCGCAAATGGGCACTTTGGTTACCCATAATCTCCCCTTTGGGGGTGGCGCTTGTTTAAAAGCCAAATTGAAACAGCCAGGAGTGACTTTTATTTTTTCATGCTGCATTATGAGTGTTTGATAACTACCAAGAGGGTAGAGAGGAGGGATAGGACAGAGCACGAGGGGAGGCACTAAAACTGGCACACAATAAGGCGATTCTGGTTGCATTTCTTGTCATTCCAGGTGCCGTCAGTGTACATCTCCACACACTCCTCTTCCCCTTTGCCGGACGGTTCCCTTACGTGCCAGTGCGTGTAACTCAGCTCGGCCCCGCCGAGGGAGCGGAACTTGCCTGGAATCAGGGACTCCTTTATGCCCAGGTAGGCGTACGTGTTATAGCGCCTCACCAAGTAGAGCACGGCAGTGTTCTCGCCCTCCGTCCCCGGGGCGGCCAGGGACCCCCCGGCCTCTTTGCATTTCTGCACCGCAGTATGGAAGTCAGCTTTTTTCCCATTGGTAGCAAATATTTTTCCTCCAGATGTGGTTATCTTCTCTTCCAAACGGAGGGCTACAGGATAAGCAAAAGAGGATAATCTCTTATGTATTGTTTTCTAGTCCTTTTGCTAGCAATAGTAGTTCTGACTGTCTATATTCCTCCATAACTTCAGATTTAACCTATGAAAAAGGAAAGGAGAGGAAAACAAAGAAAAAAAGAAATCTGAAAAGATGTGGGGGGGTGGGCCGGAAAGGAAGATATACTTATGGACAATGAATGAGGAGAACCAAGAGGATGGAGAGGAGGAAATGAGGAATTCCACATTTAGACCAACCGTGTAACTTTTTTCTTTGTCTCTTTTCCTAAGTTTTTTGGGATGGTTACAGAGTGTAAGAGTATGCCAGTACTTCAGGGAGTAGAACCTTAGATATGACCCTGTTGGGATTATTACAGCATTTTTTTTAGCATTTGGTCTATATGTGACATGCTATATGTGAGCATGAGATGACAAGGGAGCACTTTTACAGAGGCAAGAATTTTAGTTTGATAAAAGTTTCTGACCTGCATCCATGTTTCACTGCTCTTACCTAGGCATCTTTCACTAGTTATGGAAACAATTCTCACACTCCTCCTACAATTTGTAACTAATCACTCACCTCTTTACTGAGGAACAGAACACAAAGGGAGTGCAACAAAAACTCAGAAAATGCTGCTGTTTGCTAGGAAGCTTTTTTCCTGCACATTTTGCCTATGTCCACCAATCCTGTTGTAGCTGAAAGGCAGATAAATTACCTCCTTCAAGTCTGGAAATGCGATGGTCTAACTGAAGGATAACATCTTCCATTTCACGATCAGCAAGTGATGAGGAGTCTGAAAACAGAAACAACTATTACACATTATCTTGAAATTAAAAAAAAAGATAGCTGTGTGAAATTAATATGAACTTAAAGGTTTTGTTTGATCTCTTTTAGCCTAATTATCTGTTTTAACAAGGCATTTTTCACACACTAATCTTTGGAAAAACAGGGAATAAATTATTGGAAAATAACTGTGGAGCAGTGAAACTAATGAAAACTCCAATAACAATCCCTGGATTGTTCTTCACTGCATGGCAAAAGACTGGCAGCTGTGCAACAGGCTCAGCTGACTTTTAATGCTTTCTTAAAACTGCTGACAGGGTCCCTCAAGCTGTTGAAGTTGCTGATCACACAACTAACACCTGAACATGC